AGGCCCTGCCACGCCCCTCAGCACACTCACACCAGAGGCCCTGCCACGCCCCTCAGCACGCTCACACCAGAGGCCCTGCCACGCCCCTCAGCACACTCACACCAGAGGCCCTGTCACGCCCCTCAGCACGCTCACACCAGAGGCCCTGCCACGCCCCTCAGCACGCTCACAGCAGAGGCCCTGCCACGCCCCTCAGCACGCTCACACCAGAGGCCCTGCCACGCTCCTCAGCACAGCTCACACCAGAGGCCCTGCCACGCCCCTCAGCACAGCTCACACCAGAGGCCCTGCCACGCCCCTCAGCAGCGCTCACAGCAGAGGCCCTGCCATGCCCCTCAGCATGCTCACACCAGAGGCCCTGCCACGCCCCTCAACACGCTCACACCAGAGGCCCTGCCACGCCTCTCCGGCAACTGCGGCTTTGGGCTTTGGCCCAAACCCCTGCACTCAGCTCCTTTTGAAGGTAGCTGGAGCTCACGTGAAACTGGCCTCTCCCTCCATGGGCCTCAGTGACTCGAGGGAGAGCTGCACACCCCTGGGAGCCCGCCTCCGCCCACACCGGCCCTCAGTCCCTGCTGCAGACCTCTTGGGGGAAGGCCTTTCCCATGGCATCACTGGAACCCAGTTGATCTTACAATCACTTCTGATCACTTAGAGCCTGGCCCCAGCATCACTGGCACCCGCCTGGCATGCCAATCTCGTCTGGTTCATCACAAACTGAGGAAGCAACCTAGGTCCGTGAAACGCCTCTGGGGCACTCCGTGCTCTTCCCACAGACAGCTCTCCTGTCGTTTTCGCTGATTAATGGAAGAATATCCGAACTCACTTCCTTGTCTCAAATATGAACCTCAGTCTTTAGTTCTGAGTATCATCCAAACTCACTCATCGCTCTGTCCCTTAAATATTCAATAAGAATCTATGACAGCCAGTCAAAGCTTCAACAAGCAATGCTATCTCCACACCATTTTGCTTGAGTGAATTACTTGGTTAAGGTGGTGTTTTTGTTCTTTTGGGAACAGAAATCATTTACTTGTTTTGTCCATCTGTGTGGTTTCTCGAGTCCTAGAACTACAGGCAGTCCACATAGCCAGATGCAAAAGCACAGACAACGTGGGGAGGGGGGGCGGGGCAGAGAGCCTGGGAAGGGGTGAGCGCTCCAGACCTACAGCGGCAGGCAGCAGTGGAGGGCCCGGACTGTCCCAGGCAGGTGTGGTTCAGAACAGGTCCCCCGGACACAAAGACCAGGATAGAAAAGAGCTCATCTGTGGAGATAAGCAGGTAACCCAGGGGGCTCTGATTTTTTTTTCTGGTAACAGGCAGCTCCCCAGGGCGCTCCCATGGGGGCAGTCAATGGTGAGCAAACACTGGGCCAATAATTCACAGCTACTTCGCTGTATAAGAGATTGAATGTACACACTGATTTATGACTTATTATCCAGATCACTGAGAAAAACTACCTTTACCGTGGCTGCGTAACTTCTAACTGCTTCTTGGGTGTTTTATGGTACATCTAGCATTTTTATTAATATTCAATTGTGAGCCTTTTTATATCTGATTTCACCCAACTCATTTAACAGTGGGGGATCCCACATAAATGTTGCATTTGCAAAGTACTTCACAAAGAGTTTATTGCCTGACAACATTTCAATCAGAAGGTTTTATGTTTTAAAAAGAGAAAATTAGGGATAAAAGCGCTGTGGATATGTCTAAGCTGGACACCCACCAGGTATAGGAAGCTGACACCCACAGGGGCTTTAGTCATCCACAGAACTAACTGGATTTGTGTGAATTAAAAGTTAACCTTTCAGATTCTATCACTTAAGTTGTTCTGAAATCTGTACGAAGAGGTTTTATACAAAGCTAAACACAATTTTCACAGTAGTCATCTTCAAGCTGACACATCTTCATAATAAAAAAAAAACATAGCTTTAAAGATTTTGAGTTGCCGGGCGCTGGTGGCTCACGCCTGTAATCCTAGCTACTCAGGAGGCTGAGATCTGAGAATCACACACAGTTCAAAGCCAGCCCGGGCAGGAGAGACCGTGAGACTCCTATCTCCAATAAACCACCAGAAAACCGGAAGTGGCGCTGTAGCTCAAGTGGTAGAGCGCTCGCCTTGAGCTGAAGAGCTGAGGGACAGCACCCAGGCCCAGAGTTCAAGACCACGACTGTAAAAAAATAAAAATAGGATTTTGAATAAACAGTTGCATTATTTCTTGCAAGAAAAACCTAGCACACCTGATAACACCTTGGAGCTTGCAGTGCTTTGAGCTGCAGATGACTGAACCCCTAGACTCTACATTGTCTAACTGAACCCTGAGACTCTACATTGTCTAAACTGAACCTCAAGACTCTACATTGTCTAAACTGAACCCCGTGACTCTACATGGAGTCTAACTGAACCCCTAACCTTCACTGTAGGTTCCTGAGACCTGCTGCTGCTGGAGCACAGGCTGTGAGCTAGCTCTGACACCTGCTGCTGCTG